GTCAACCTAACCTAATACACCATCGTTCTAAGGAAAAACAAAGGAGGAGAATGTGGTTTATACCCCAGTAGCTAAGACTTTGATGACTATGAAGAAGCCCGGGATGGGTGGGAACAGGGAGAGGGGCGGGGTGGGGATAGGCACCAAAAAATGAAAAAATTAATTAAAAAAATTAAAAACCCGAAGGCATCCATTCTTCTTCAGTGTACTATACTTGTCTATATAATATACTATATATAGTGTATAATATATATAAGATAATATATACACACACATTTATATATCATCGTGGGCGCGAACGTAAGAGCAATTGTGAGGGTGGCACAGGACAGGGCAGTGTTTCGTTGTGTTGCACACAGGGTCTCTGTGAGTCAAAACCAATAGCACCTAACAGCAACAACAACAATCTATTATCGTAAAAGTTGCCATTTTAACTTCAGTGGTATCCGTTACATTCACAACGTCAGGTAAGCTCTGCCACCATCTATTTCTAGAACGTTCCATTATGTCGAACAGACACTATGCCTGTGAAGCAGTCATGTCCACTCTCCCTTCTCCTCAGCCTCTGGGAACCTCGAACCTCCTCTCTGTTTCTCTGCCTTTGGCCATCCGTGATTTTACCACGTCCACAGCAGGCTAGGGAGAAAGGCTTTCCTCCCTCGGCTTCCTCCCCACGATGAAGACACACGCTTCACATCGCCGTCCGTTCAGGGCAGAGCTAGCTGGGGCTCTAGGCCATCAGCGCAGCTTATCCAGGACACGAGCTCCCAAACATGGGACTGCCAGGATTGAACCTGGGATGGACCTGGGTGCACCTCCAGTCACACTGCCTGTTAGAGCATTCTATGAAGTGCTTACGTGGGCTGTTACAAGATGGAGTGGGCACCTTGCCAGTGTTTAGAACATGAAAATTCCCAACCACTGACTTAAAAAAAAACCTGCTTTCTGAAACGTTTCCTTGTGATGTGAGTGGAAGTTCACCGAGCAAATTGGTTTTCCAGTCAATGATTCGTCCGCCTTTTGATCTACGGCATGGATGGCAACCTCCACAACGGGAGGTTCATGCTCTTAGCCCTCAGCCCGTCCCAGCTTGGCAACCCATGGTTGGTTCCAGGGCATGACCAGCGCTGTGGAGCCAGGTCATTGTTGTGGGTGGGCAGCAGGTGAGCCCCTAACACACATCACTTTCAAGCGTGAGAGAGCAGAACTGCTCCATAGGGTTTTCTTGGCTGTAGTTTCTGGAGGCAGAGTGGTTATGCATTGTGCTGCTAACTGAAAGGTCTGTAGTTGAAAACCACCAGCTGCTTCTCGGGAGAAAGACAGGGCTCTCTACTCCTGTAAAGAGTTACATTGTTGGAAGCTCATGGGGCAGTTCTATCCTGTCCTATAGGGTCATGATGAGTCAGCATTGACTTGATGGCAGTGAGTTTGGTTTGGTTTGAAAACACTTTGGAAACTTCTACTCTGTGCATGTGGAGCTGTGTGGGAGGAGGGGCATGGGTCAGAGTCTACTTAATGCAGCTGACCCCAACCTGGGGCAAAATGTAATTTTTGCTTTAAGCAAATTATGTAATTTTTCTGAGATTCCATGTTATTACAACTCGTAGCAACTCTATAGGACCTTATACAACTCATGGTTCAATCTTCTTCAACAAGCACCATAATGCAAATGCCATATCATGTATTTAAATCACACCATTCCAAATGCATTTGCCTAATTTCATGAGCTTTTGTCCCGCTAATACTACAGATAGAAGTATCATTACGTTTACATGAATTAAACCTCCTGATGATTATATTAAGATTCCCTGGTGGCGCTGCTTGGTGAATATTGGACTGCTAACTGTAAGGTTAGCAGTTCAAACCTACCGGCTGTTTCTCAGGAGGAGAAAGACAGAGTTTTCCACTCTGGTAAAGATTGACAGTCTCAGAACCCTATACAGGTTGCTGTGAGTTGGAACTTGTGACACAATTATGCTCTTACTACAAAAAAAATCTCCACCTTCAGTTGGGATAAATGACTCTATTAACATTTGGTTGTAGAGCACATTTGTACATTTGTTGCCATCCTCATTCTCAAAACATGACTGTGGTCTTTATAGAAGCAGGCTGCCTCGTCTTTCTCCAGCTAAGCAACTGGTGGGTTCAAATCTCTGGCCTTTTGGTTTAGCCAAAACTTAACCACTGTGCCACCGGGGCTCCTATCAAAATAATCACATTAATCATACCAACTGCATAGGGCTGTGAGATGGGGTAGAAGAAGTATATACTGTTTCCTGTGGGTACAGTAAAAAAAAACTCAGTGACTTACAACAACAGAAAAGCAGCCACTCATATGTCTGCAGGTGGCAGGCTCACGGTGTGGGTGGGCCAGGCTCCTCCCTGGTCTCTTCAGCGTCTGGTGACTCCAGTGTTCCTCACCCTGTGACAGCGTCGATCCAGTCTTGGGCTTTGCGGTCGCATAGTTTTCTCCTTACCTCTTCTCTTCTTTTTTTTAGTGCCTGCCGTGGTTTCTGAGTAGGGAAAATGAACAAAGAACAAAACAGACAGACACACACACACACACAGACAATACAGGGCCGCAGCACAAAATAGACACAGACAGAGACGATACAAAACTGCCTCTCTGGTGGACTACAGCGCTTTACTTTTTTAAATTTTTTTTCCAGCGCTTTATTTTTATCTACTAAATACTGACAGTGTTTCCAGATAAGTGCACTATTCCAACTTGAATTTCTCATTGCTTTGACAGAGTTCCGTATCTCAGTGCATACTGCTCTTGTTTACTTCTCCCAGGGAACACTGTATGCAACTGTTCCCCAAATTTCTTACTGTCTGCAGTTGAAGGACAGCCCGAGCTCGTGTGCAAGCTGCCAGGGAAATAAGGAAGCAGTTTATGAGAGCCAGCTAGGACAGACCTTTGCGTACCGTCCTAGACAGATACATGACATGAGACACGGTCCTCCTTACATGGCTCCTTCAGTGCCACAAGGTGTTTTATTTTCATTAATTATACAAATCATTTTCTATGGTATCCCAGGGAAGACCAGAGAATTTGGTGGTCCCTTCGGTGACCCGGAGGCCGGTGGGTTCACAGTACAGACAGTCTCTTGTGTCCATCTTGCAGGTGACACTTCCTCCACATCAGTCTGGTAGACAATGGAGGGGGTGAATCCTCCAGGATTAGGGGATTTTACTCCTCTTCTCCTGCTCAGTGATCTCTTTGGTTGGCAGGGTGCTCTTCTCCTGCATCTCCGTTTTCTTCGGCTTGGCCTTATCGAAGCTGGCAGTTTCTCCCATGTCTGACTTGTCTGCCATTTTCTTAGAACAATCCCTGGCTTCCGGCTCCAGGTCATCTTCTGGGTGATCCCGCTCTTGGCACTGCAGCCAGAGACCTTCTCTTCTCTTCTTCAAGGACACCAGTCGTGTTGGGTCTGTCCCCACGCTACTCCCTTGTGGTTGCTTGTTATACTAATTACATAGGCAAGGGATGCTATTGGAGATTGGGTTTGGCATATCGTTTTGGAGGACAAAACCCAACCCATGTCAGGGACAGGAAGTATAATATGCCTTGTACAGAGGTAGTTTAAATGTTATAAAATGCTTCTTCCAACATGACCCAACCTGGAGTTTATAGTCTGATAATCTAGAGGAAGAATACCATGACTAATTCAAAGTCATTGATGTGTGGGAATATAATGTATTGCAAACAACTGGGGTAGTTGTCTTCCATTAATTGCCTGCTGATATAGTTATTAAAAAAATTAAAACGCAGATTTATTGGCACTTTTTCCACATAATCATATAATTCGACAATTCAATCACATCAAGAAGAGAGCTGTACAATTGTTACTATAATCAATTTTAGAACATTTTCTTCTTCCTGGTACTCATTATTATCAGTGTAATGTTTTTTCAATTGTGGCAAAACAATAAAACATTCTCCAATTCAACAACTTCTACACATATAATTCTGTGCCTCTGATTATCCTCTTCATGTTGTACAACCATGATTGATGTCCTTGCCCAAATTATTCCAAGATATGGTCCGTTCTAATGGGATGGAGTGTCACCAATATATAAACAACATGAAAAGATCCCATGACAATGGAGTCATTTAATATAAAATTTTAATTTCATTTCACACAAATTACACAATCTCGCATTTTCTATTAGGCAAACAAAAGAAGACAGATGCCAATACCACATGACCCAAAGATCTCCAAGAAAGACTTCCATCCTCTGTGTTGCTGCTACCACGGAAGACCCTCCAACATCTTCAGCTCCCCACATGTTGGTCTCTTCGAGGGGTCCAAGAGCTGAAGCCCCCTAGGCTGACAGGCTCACTTGGTAAGACTACAAGAAGAATGCTCACTGTGGCTCACGCATTGGACCAACCTGACAGGCCTGTGACAAGGGAATAGAAGAAGAGATTGCAAGGTGAGATAAGTCTGTGTTTCAAGCCACCAGTAAAAGTGGCCTTCCGGGGGAGCGGGGAGGGAGGGGAAAAATGAGGACCTAATGTCGGGGGTTTAAGTGGAGAGAAAATGTTTTGAGAATGATGTACAAATGCGCTTTACACAATTGATGTGTGTGTGGATTGCGATAACAGTTGTATGAGCCCCCAATAAAATGTTTAAAAATAAACAAACAAACAAACAAATAAATAAAAATTCAAAAAAAAAAAGTGGCCTTCCTCTGACAAAGATGTGTGATGGGTCAAGAAGTCCTGAGAGAGTTGTGAAGATTCAGCGTCTCAGAAACCCTGGTAGACTCCCTATGGGTCTGAATCAACTCAATGCCAGAGTGTTTAGGTGTATGAACCACTTAGCCTCCACACAAGTTCTTCCCCAATTGGACAAGGTCTAGCCCAAGAGCAAAATCTAACCCAGGGGGGAGTAACTTTAGCTCTGGTCATATTTAGTTTCATTTGAAGTCACGTGTAGCCACTGCAAATCTATAGGGCAGAGTAGAACTGCCAGTGGGTTTCTGAGAATGGAGAGCTTTATGGGTATAGAAAGTCTCATCTTTCCACCAGTGAGGATGATAGTTTCAAACTGCTGACCTTGTCATGAGCAGCCCAACACATGACCCAATATGCCACCAGAACTCCTACGAGTTAGATTCATCTTGATGGCAGACAGTTTGTTTACTGGCGTTTGAAACCATAGGATAAATTTGGTAAGGCTGATGATACGGAGAGGTGAAACCAGATGTCTGAACTTGAATGAGTCTCAGATATGTGTACCAAGCAGTCTTCTGGATTCAAATCCAAAAAGTAAACAAACTGTCCTCTGGTTTATTGCCACTCATTGTAACCCCATGTGTATCAGAACAGACCTGTGCTCTATGTGTGTTTTGGTTCTGTTTTGTTATACATAAGGTTTTTCAATAGCTAATTTTTCAGAAATAGATCACCAGGACTTTCTTGTAAACCTAGGGCTGCAGCCGAGGCACTCATATGTTTGAGAATTTGTTTTGCTATGTTCAGAAACCCCCTGAAAGAAAACTGGGTCAAAGGACCATGGGGCGAGTAAGTACAAGCACACAAATAAATAAACAAACACAATGTCACCGAGTAGATGCTGACTCACAGTGACCCTATAGGATAGGGTAGAACTGCTCCTGTGTATTTCTGAGTCTGTAACTCTTTGCAGGAGTAGAAAGCCTCATCTCTCTCCCAAGGAGCTGCTGGTGCTTTTGTACTAACGAAACTGGTGGTGCCGAAGCTTACCAAGTCATGAGGACTTGACAAGAGAGAAGGTTTGACGAAGCCCTTGGCCATGAGCACTTTTGCGCCATGATGCTTTGGGATGCTTAAGCCTCAGACTAGAAACCAGCGAACACCCCCTCACAGGCTGGGTATATACACCTTTTAAAGGTTACACCTTTTGGATAAGCAGGGAAGGGAGGCAAAGATGAGGGAAGGGTGACCAGGTGAGGCACGCAGTCTATAAACATCCTTTGTGTTAGTCTGTGGGGAGTGACCAAGATCACTGTCTGAGATTACCAGGAAGTCATTCCAGGTCAAAGGTCCAGTAAGGATTTGCTCAGCCTTCCTGGCTCAGAAAAGACCGAGAAAAGGGAAAACACTTGTCCATGGCGAGTCACATGTTTCTTCTTCAACAAATCACTTACTTGTAGTCGTCCTGGCACATCAAATGTATCTTCCTTTTGTTTAAAAGTGAACGCAGCTCATTTATGGAGGAACCTGAGCATGAATCGCTAGGAAAGGAAGAAAAAGGTATTAAAAAACAAGCTCTCACAAACATTCTCTGAGTCTCTTCTATCACGGACAAAGCTCTGCAGGGGTCCTCAACCTGCGGCCCGTGGGCCACATGCAGCCCACCGAGGACATTTATCTGGCCCGCCGGATGTTTTTCCCCCTTTTGTTTTTTTACTTCAAAATAAGGTAGGTGCAGTGTGCATAGGAATTTGTTCATAATTTTTTTTAAAACTATAGTCCGGCCCTCCAACGGGTCTGAGGGACAGTGAACTGGCCTCCTGTTTAAAACGTTTGAGGACCCCTGCTCTAGAGGCAGGCCTCTGTGAGCTAACAGGTTGGCTGGTCATTGACTTGACCCGTATCTCATGGTGGCCTTGGTTTTCTGCCTGACGAACTCCCCTTAGTGTTTCTTCTAAGGATGGCCTGACATTCATAGGTTCTTTTAATTTTTGTTTACTTGGAAATGTCCTAATTTTATCATTGTATTTGAGGTATGATTTTGCTGGGTTTATAATTCTTGATTGGCATTTTTTTTTCTTTCCTTCAGAGTTTTATAAATGTCACCTCATTGCCATCTTGCCTGCATGGTTTCCACTGAGAAATCAGAGCTCAGTCTTATTGGTTTTGGTTTGAAAAATGAAGTTCTTCATTTTTCCCAAATGGCGCTCAGTATTCTTGTCTCTAGTTTTGGAAAGTTTGAGTCTGACACATCTTGGTGACTTTCTTTTGGGGCTGTCTTTGTTCATTGGTGTTCATTCTTGTATGCCTATAGTCTTGTCTTTCATAATATTAGGAAAGTTTTCTTCCAACAACTCTTGGACAATAGTCTCTGTGCTCCCCACCCTTGCTGTTCTGGAATTCTAATTGAGTATAAGTTATTCCTCTTGATAGCCCTCATAATTCTTAAGCTTTCTTCTTTTGTTCCACTGGTATATTAGTATTGAGATACTTGCCTTCAAGCTCACTAATTTGACCATCCATTGATTCAGTTACATTCCTTTTCCTTTCAATAAAGTACCTGCTTCTGAAATCTTAGTATTAATCATCTAGATTTTGAATTGTTGTTTTTGCATCATTTCTCCATTTTCTTTATTTTGACAATTTGTTTCTCATAGTGTTTTCTTGAATTATTCTAAAGTTTTATTTGTGTTTTCCTTTAGTTTGTCTAAAGCTTTCTTGATCTTTCACTCCACTGACAGTACCAAAATATCATTCTTTTGACTTCTTCACCAGGCAGTTCCAGTCATTTCTTCCCCAGAAAGGCTTTCTTGCTCTGTACTTGAGTTCCTCGTTTGAGCTGCTCTACCTTGTTTCTTCATGGACACAGATGCTTTGTTTTGTCTCTGTGACATTGTGGTGTTGTTATATCAAATTGGTGACTTGCATGTTAGTGTCTTCTTGATTCTGAGCACCTTTCTCCTCCCGTATGTAGTAACGAATGAGAATGCATGTGCAGTTCTCTGCATGTTGTTGAGAGAGGATTAGGCTGGTGTCGGAGGCACCTACAGTTGATTGACAGGCAGGAGTGGGTGGGAGCCCTCTCCCAGTGGGTGGGCATGCAGGATCTAGGAGAGTGGCTGGGTAGTATGGGCACAATTGCTGTCTCCAGCTGGATGGGACAAGGCAAAAAAAATTAAAGAGGAAAGTAAAACCCCCACAGCAAATAGAAAAAAATAAAGTAAAGGGAGGAGGGACAAATAACAACAAAGAACGTGACTAAAAGTAAAGAAGAAAAAAGAAACAACAAACAAGAAATCTAAGTGTGGGGATTCAAAGACAAGGGGATAGTTAAAAAAATAAGTAAAAATAGAAAAGTACGCGAGAGAAAGAAAAAAAATTAAAAATGGAGCAAAAACAAGGGAAAGAAAAGAGAAACAAAACCAAGGAGTAAACTAGAGAAAGGGGGACAGAGCACAGAAATGAGAAAAAATAGGGTAGAGGGTGTCAGGGCACCTAGACAAGGTCAGTACCCTCCACAAGCTAAGGAGATCATTTGGGGAGGGCAGGCTATTCCATCCTGGATAGAGTCCCTACCTGCTGGGTCAGGTTGCCAGGCCCTGAAAGGAATTTCTGCTTGTTCAGGGGTGGCTGGGAGAGAACCTTTGTCTAGACTGTTTTCTGCTAGCCTGAGGAGGCAGATTTCACATCCATCCAGACACGGGACAGTTGTGCACTTTGCACTAATCCACAAGAGAGTGCCTCTGGCCTCAAGTGGAACAGCGGCTATGCAGGGGTGTGTCACAACTGCCAGGTATGTGAAGGTGAGCACTTGAGAAACTTCTGGTTTCCATAAGGGTGTGGGCAACAAGGGGAAGTTTGCATGAGTCTGGTTACCAGCCAAGGAGTGGGCACTTGTGCAGGCCTGAGCAAGGAGACTCAATTAGTAGATTGCTGTCCTGATCAACGATGCTTGTCAAAGTTCAAAATAGCCATGTTGTGTCAGGTCAACTGACAATTAACTGTCTGCCTGTATCCTTGCTTGCTGATTTTGTTCAATTTCCTCTCCTAGTCAATATTCAATCCACTTCTCTATCCTTACCTCTGAATCCCATGGACCTGGAATTGTCACTTGTATCTGTTTCATTGAATTGCTTGCGTCTTTGTTGTACAGGATTGGGTAGAGTGTCTGCCTAGTCCCCTATCTTATCAGAAGTCTAGTCACCATAACCTTCGGAGCTGACCTTGAATATAACGGATCCAGCAGATTCCCTCGAAAGCCATTGTTTTGATTGGGCCAGTTTTTAGAAGACACGATAGTGAGACGAAGACAAGTTTATTATTGGGAGAAGTTATTTACAGCCAACTAGTGATCCCAGAGATATGTTAAAATGCATTTTGTTTGCAATAAACCAGAGTCAGCATGAACTGGGACCCTAATAGCAATTCTTTATTACTTACTTACCCTTGTGGATCACCAGCTCCTGATTCCTAGACTTCTTAGTCTGGAGGAGCCACTGATGCATGGTCAGCGTCATTGCAACATACACATCTCCACTGACAGATGGGTGGGGGCTGCCCATAGAAAAGCTGGCAGAAATCAACTCTGAATTTCCAAAAGGCGAGAGTTCTACCAATGAACCACCACGGGGCCCAGATTCCTATTGTGGTGGTTAGATTTGATGTCAACTTCTACCTGGATGAAAATGTAGGAGCAGAGTCCAGCCTGTCAATCAGGCCACAGACTGATGATACCACCTTAGGATGGGGGTAGGGTGGGGAGTGAGGGTTTTTTATAAGAGAGACACTGGGAATTTCTCACTCTCGCTTTTCACTCTCCTAGTTTGCTTGGATTCTGTGTCCCCCTCCAGGGGCAGCTTCACGTGGCCACCAACCAACCCTGGGAGCTGTTGACACCCTGCCATGTTTTTGCAGACCTTGGATCCATGCAACCTTGCACCTACTGGTTTATGATCACGCTGCTTCCACTTTTCTCTTCTGCTTCACAAGCCTTCAGTTAAGTGATTTCAAAGAGGGCTCTGGTTAGCCTTGGACCGACCTGGACTTGAATTGGTCTGGGCTTGGATGCCTTCTTGATATAAAATTACTTCTTGATACAAAGTTCTTTCTTACACATAGATGAGTATGGCTGGTTTGGTTTCTCTAGACAATCCAGCCTACCACAGAGAGGTATGATCAAGAGGCCAGGGGCAGTTATGGTGACTCAGAAGGTTATGGTGACTAGACTTCTGATAAGATGGTGGACTAGGCAGACACTCTACCCAACCCTGTACAACAAAGACGCACACAATTCAACGAAATAGATATAAGTGACGATTCTGGTTAACTATCGAGTGAAACCAGTGAGCGCTGAGCTGATTCCAACGCATGGTGGCCCCATGTGGGTCAGAGTAGAGCTGTGCTCCGTCAGGTTTCCTATGGCTGTGATCTTTACACCGAGGGTCATCGGACTTTCTTCTGAATCATCATTCTCACAGCCACAGACTTGATGCTGACTCAGAGAGACCCGATAGGACATGGTAAAAATACCCAAGTGGGTTTTGGAGACTGTAATTCTTTACAGGAGTTGAAACCCTCTTCTTTCTCCTGCGGAGTGACTGGTGGCTTTGAACTGCTGACCCTACAGTTAGCAGTCCAACACATAATGACTTTGCCACCAGGGTTAGTTATGTGTAAATCAACTTTTCAGTTAGTAGCCCAGCACCTAACAACCCTAAAGGAACTTTCAATAATCTAGGTACTTTGGCACAAGGAGACACTTCTGCCAAAGATGCAGGCTGGGCTATACTGCTGCTGCTTGCTGCTTATTCTGAGCTGACTTCCAAGTTTAGTTAACTTGCACGCCTCAGGAAGCCTGCAGGACCCCCCTCCTCTCTCCCTCTCACAGCATGTCCTCAGGAAGAGCATCCACTGAAGCTGGCCCCAGACCTATCCATAGATGAACAAGACTTTGACTCAAACTCTAGGATGAAGCAGACGATGCTTACAGGATCTTGACGTGATTTTGTACATTTCACCCACTCAGAGCTTTTTTCTCTCCTGTGTGTTCCTGGGTGTTCCTTCGAACTGTGGACTATTCCTCTTAAGGGAGCGCTTCCATGAATCCTCCAGGAGTGCTGCTCCTCCAGGGTCGAAGTCAGTCGATTTCCACCCCCCACCCCCCCGAAACTCCCACCCCCCCCATGAAGGCCTTGCTTTGATTTGAACAGAAATTAATCCTTTGCACCACCCAGGGACCCCTTAAATAAAGAGTCGAGCAAAAACAAACCAAAAAGACCCCACTGCCCTCTAGGCATTCCGACTCACAGTGACCCTCTAGGAGCCGAACTGCTCCTTGGGGTTTCTGAGGCTGTACCCCTTTAAGGGAGCAGACAGCCTCTTCTCTCTCCAGAGCAGCTAGTGGATAATCTCTAGGTTAGCCGACCCCATACCTAATTCACATAGTTGATTAGGACTCTACCTGGGGTTTCTGAGGCTGTACCCCTTTAAGGGAGCAGACAGCCTCTTCTGTCTCCGGAGCAGCAAGTGGATAATCTCTAGGTTAGCTGACCCCATACCTAATTCACATAGTTGATTAGGACTCAGAGGGACCCTGTTGGACAGAGGAGAGGTGCCCCTGTGGGTTTCCAAGGTTGTAGCTCTTTACTGGAGCAGACAGCCTGATCTTTATCCTTTGGCGTGATAGGTAGTTGGCAACCCAATTTGTAACCCAATATGCCACCAGGGCTCCTTTTAATATAGAGCAGTGTCCCATCAATCCCCCAAGCCAGGCTGTCCCAAGGTGTTCGTCTGAGTGTGGAGTCTTTTGTGGCTGGATCCTGCACAAGGCCTCAGGGTCGATAGGTGTAAAGCAATAAAATGTACCTGAAATTTCCTCCGATGTCATGCATCACCCAGGCTTCAAGTAGAGGAACTCTATCTGGGTGCAAATTGTGGACTTCCACGCTTCCAAAAGTGCTAAGATAGAGAAGAGACAAAGAGCACTGTCACTCCCCTACTGAAGCCCCCACACATCTGGACCTTCAGGAAGCCATGGTGAAGACCCCTGATTTACATTAGAAACAACAAGGGTGGCAGTTACATAATCTCCTGTCAACTTGAGAAGGGGTGGAGTCTAGCCTGTCAATCAGAGCATAGCGCATGAGGTCTCTGTGTGGGCATGACCTTTTCCTCAGGATTCTGGGAACTCTTGTCTTCCTCCCTGGAGGAGGGACACACACTCTCACTATGAACTATGAGATATTCCTGTTGACAAGATACGTGGAGCTACACTGATGGAGCCAGAGCCCTAGAGCTGGAGGAGCCACATGGAGACTCACACCAGTGAGATGCTTCCACTGCCACTGGATCCAGAAGATTTTCCACCCATGGGTCTGTGATCTTCCTGCATTCAGCATCATTGTATGTGGTGTATGAGTCTGAAAAGGACTTTATAGATTGGTATCAAACATATGGGCAAATATCAGACCTATGGACTTAATCTGGACTGGGCTGGGATGTTTTCTTAATATTCAATTATTCTTTGATAAAAATTTCTCTATTACACACATATGACTGTCTCTGAATTTGTTTTTCTAGTCAACCTGGACTAACACAACCAGCTTTTCTCATTCCACATGACTTTCCATTGGGGCCAACAGGAACACAAGATACCTCATCTCTACTTTGACTCTGGCCCTTGACATCTGTATTAGTCTTGGTATTTTGGAGAAACAAATCCACAGCAACTCA